ATATATATATATAAACACAAAACAGCAATTACACATTAATGGCACAATTACACAGAAGACAAACACTTTCACATCACACCAGACCGCATCTCACGATTTCTGAATAATTAGTTTATTAAAAATCTGAAACAAAACTAAAATAAATTTTATATGTACATCTTTTTTTATTTTTTATTTCATTTTCCTTGTAATTTACTTGTTTTACTTTCTCAGACGGAAAAATAAACTCAATTATTAAAAGTTAAAAAAACGTGATACTTTGATTAATATATAAAAATATATACAAATCAAATTATATTGCAATTGGGTGGAATTTTTTGCCTGTCAGTGTATTTATCACAAACTAACTATATAAATATTGCGTATTTATTTAATACGCGTATTTGTTTCTGCAATGATTTTAATTAATTGCGTAATAATTATTCCCCAGGGAGTCGAAGAGCATGGAGAACCCCGAGGGCCACTGGGCTGTCGACGTGCCAAAGATGGATGAGCCGCTCTGTGCTGCGATCGACCCGTCGAGCGACTTCAGGTGGCAGCCGCTGCCCTGCTCCGGCCCGACGGTCGCAGCCTTCATCTGCCAAATGCAAGGTGAGCAGAAGGTTGAACGGTCGGTCGGTTGAACTATGGAAGAGGCTGCCAGGAGGTCGATCGGCCACGAGGCGCCGTGGCTTAGTTGGTTAAAGCGCCTGTCTAGTAAACAGGAGATCGTGAGTTCGAATCTCGCCGGTGCCTAAAATATTATTTTTCCCTTTTTTTAGTTTGTTTCATTGACAAAGATGCAATTTTCATAAATTGTTTTACAGCAACTCCCCTGACTGTGGAATATTGTCTATAATTACTAAAATTAGTTATAAAATGGATAGTTATCAATAAAGATAATTTATTATTATTTAAATATTAATTTTCAAATAAATAATAAATATAATACTGTCAATTTAACACATGTACACTTCATATACTCACATATTAATTATTCAATGTCTTTTAGAGAGTCTATGTATGATTATTTATCAATTAATTAAAAACTTCCGTCCCAAAACTGAACAGTAAAATATTATTTGAGAAAAATTTTTTTGTAGGCCGTTTGCTGAATGCATTTTTAAATAAAATTGGATAATTAATTAATATTTAGATATTTAAAGTAATAGTTAATGACTAATTATTTATTTATTTTTAATAGTTAATAGTTTTATAAGTTAATTACTTAATCATTTTAAAATTATTACACACCGTCAAAAAAAGCATACAAAAATAATTGTAATAATTAATTTTTGAGTGATTTAAAGGAGTTACTACAAAGTCCCCAGTATTTGTTTCGAAGAGAACATTTCAGTTTTCTTAAATTTATTCGAATTTATAATGAGATTTAGGCCTTTTCCCAAATTCTTATACCTTTGCATGTTTGTCTGCTAGTGTTTGAGTTGTGCGTGCAAGATTTCTTTCTTTTTTTCAAGAATTTTTGAGGCTGCTGGTTTATAGCATTAATGGGAGTTTCTTTAAGTTCTAAATTCCATCTGATTAGTGTTGGGTTACATCTAGTCTTTTTAACATTGTATTATTATTATAAATTTTCTTTAAAGTTGTTAATGTTAATGGCATATAAAAATTAGTAGAATAACCAACAATTGACCTACACATTAATTTGGAATAAAGCGTTCAACACATACTATGTAATAAATATTTAATTGAAAATAATTTAATTATATAAACAATTACTATTTCAGTGCACATAGAAATGTTTTAAATTAATTTTTGGCTGTCCATATGTCTAACAAAACTGATCTGATGTCAACATTTGTTAGTAATTTGATTGCAATGTATATTTTTAGTTTTTAACACTTAATATCATTTATTACACCTAATAAGTTAGTGAACAAATACTACTATTTTTAAAATTATCTATTAATTTTTTTCTTTTTTTTAGTACCAATTTGGGCTCAAAAAGATGATGGTTGCATGCTCACGTCACTTCCCTCTCTGACAGTCACATTTTTGCCCGAGCAAGGAGCTGTAGAATTGATATCTGACTGCGGGCTTGAAGGAACCAGGCGAATTGCATGCAAAGGACAGGCAGTAAGTGAAACAATTTCCAAGCGTTGTCCAATACACAGTTGAATGAAAACCCCACCCCATGGTGTTGGCACTTAAGACATTCAAATTTAATGCATATTCATGACCTCTACCTTACCTAAATTAGCCATCCCTATCTTATGGTTTCCACTTTCATTATAAATCCAACAGGTAGTTATATACTGTTGGTGAATTTAATTTCAATTTTAAAAATTAAAATTCATCATGAATTTCAATACAGGTTTATTTCGTTTTTAGAACCACGAAGAAATGATCAAAAAGCTGTCCTGCGAAAGTACGACGGAAGCATCCACCAGCAACACCTGGGATGATCAACAGCCCACAAGACACCGTAGAGAAAGTGAAGTCACTGGCTACACATCAAGTCCAAATACTACACAAGGTACAAAATGTGAAATAAATGTGGAATAATACATTAGATGGGAAAGATTTAATACAAATAAATCAACAAATTTACCTTGTAATTGCAACTAAAAACTATAATATGCTTACCATTATATTGTTTATTTAATCTTCTAAAAAGACTTGGGAATAATTATGAAAAGCCTTTTTTTATATTATAGAACCTGTTTAACCTTTTTATGGACCTGTTTTCCTAATAAATACTTCATTGCCAAGACTTGTTGGAAATTAGTTCAAACTTGTCAGATAGTAAGTAGTAAAACGTTTTCCTGAAAGCAAATCTGGTTTTAGATAAGTTGGATCTCTCCGCCAACTCAGAACAAGTCATGGTTACCATGATTTGGTTATTCTTTTAACTATTTTAGTTTATTGTGAGCCTTTTCTCATGGGGTCTGTCAGACAAAAATCAACATGTATCTGAAAACCCAAAACAATGAGACTAGGTAGATGATCAAACTACAAATTTTATTTTATCTTCATGAAGAAGGCTGTGGTAGCTGTAGTTACATTTTTTAAGTAAGGCATTAAATTGTAATAAATTAAAAAATAGATTAGATAAATAATTAAACCCTAAAATGTACCAGTTGAAGCTCTATAGGGTTGGTGTCAGTGGAAATTGAACCATATTATCAATTTTTTTTGTTTTTAGATATATATAGAATTAAATTGTTAAGTTAACTGTGTTTATGTTTGCTTATAGTAATTCAGACTAAAAAAAAATCTTACAACAGTAATAAGACTTTTTTTCAGATGTGACTAGCAGCAGTGATGATGCTACTTTTGCCATAACAACAGAAGAAATTTCTACATTCCATGAGACGACAATAGAAGAGCCGAATAAGAATGCGACGACATCTCCTACAGAGAGCACAGGTCAGCTCGAGGTCGCAGAGCAGATAGTTTCAAAACCGTCAGACCCGCAATTTAACAAGAGGGCGAAGCCAATACCCCCTTCCTTGAAAGGGAATTCTCCGTTTGCCGGCGAGACACAGTTTCCTGGGATGGGAAAAAACATTTCAGATGAGACCGAAGCTCCACCAGAATCGCATGAAATTCTCGGTGAGGGGGGACAGCCTACAAGAGGTTCCCCCGAGCCTGGAATCGGAACAAACCCTTCCCTTGAAGTTTATAAGAAAAACATACAAGTAGGTAGATAAAACACATAAAAAATTTTTGGTTCAATTGTTTAAGTCAAATGTTTTTAAGTAGAAAATTATTATTATCAAGAATATAATAATTATAAATTAATTCAATTAATTAAGGTTTTTAGTTGAGATAAAAAAAGTCAGTGTCACGAGCAGAATACGAACCCACGACCTTCGGCTTGATCGCCGCTACTCTACCACTTGAGCTATCGTGACTTCAATCCACTCACGATAGCTCAAGTGGTAGAGTAGCGGCGCATCAAGCCAAAGGTCGTGGGTTCGAATCCCACTCGTGACACTGACTTTTTTATCTCAACTAAAAACCTTAATTAATTGAATGATATTAATTGGTCAAGCGGACCACGAAAACTAGTGAATTATAAATTAAGCATATTCTATGCAAAAGAACAGCTTTCAGTACATCATTAGTTTGTAGCATTAAACTTGACATACCAGTCCTGATTATTATAAAAAATAATATAGCTAATTGATACTAATAATTACAAAAAAATTGACTATATTTCCAGAACAAAACTTCAAAATTATTTTTTCTAGGACTCTGGTGAAGACCACACTGAAGACTTCTCGACAGCAACAGAGACAGAAGTAGAAACCATAACATCAACATTGCCAGTATCATCAACACCAATACCATCGCATAATGTAGAGACAACTTTGGAAGAGCATTTGCCTACACCTGATGCACTGTCGGATGGCGAACTCCCTGAAAGACCCAACAGAGGAAGACTTCTAGTCCACCCACAACACCACTCGTTTTATGCTTACTTTCTTAATAGAGTCCTTGGTTGAGGTATAGATTGTTTTGTATACCTTGAAAAGAGTGTTACTGTCTTTCCAATTAGAATCCCTTTTTGGGAAAAATAATCTATCCTGATTCGCTTTCACTGCACTCAGTTCGTTCTCATCAATGGTGCCAAAACTACATGAAGTATGTGTTATCAACTGAGTTCTAATTACATATGAGAAGAAGTAAAAATTTTATATACTTTAATTTTTTGCACAACTTCATTTTAGTTTAATTTCTTTTAAGAACTATACAATCTATCCATACAAATAGATTTCCAAGTTACCAATAGTTTCAAAAGAAATTTAAACAAATCTGATGTCTTCCAAGTCACTTAAAGCATCTGCAAAACAAATTTAATTTCTTACTACTTTCTCTTGGCATAAGGCTGGAAAGAAACGATTAAAAATCAAAATTGGACTCCAACTGGCACTGCATAGAAACATTAAAATAGATTTTAGTTCCTATATTGTGCGAACTGGATAATTATCTCACAATAATTCATCACAAAGGAATTATTAATTATGTATTTAAAAAAAAAAATTGCACCGTCCTTTCTGACTACAGCTCCCGTCCTAATTATCTTTCCCAGATTCACCGCTTGTCTGCCCCTCTTACAAATATTCTTTCATTCTTTTAAAAGGCACTTGAAAAACTAATGTATTTTTCAGAGAAAAGAAAGAAGAAAATTGAACCTGAAACTTGTTGCCAAATTAGAAACTATTTATAATTTAGAACAGTAGTTTTATTTCATAAATATTTGTGCACTGTTTTAGAATCTCAGAAGTAAAGTCATAAGTAAACTAATTACAAAAGGCAAATTTTACCATAGCAATCATTGTGTTAAAAGAATATGAATTCTTATTGCATAGGCTCACTTAGTATCTAGTCGCTTAAGAATAAACCAAAAATATTCGTAGAAATTATATTTCATTTCAAACAGTTGAGAATGAATCAAACCAAATTGTTAATCTAACCAACAAAAAAATGTTTTAGCATTTCAAATATGTAGAATTTATTAAATATCTTTAGCCTACTATTAATTAAAAAATGAATAATTTTGAAAAGCTCAGCAAATTTTAATGTGATAGTTGTGGCTTCGAATATTTAGTTAGAAACAAGAATGTAAACAAGGTTTCGGGATTTTCGATGGTTGTAATGTTGTACACTTTTATATGTGGAAATATAAAATGAATCTTTACCAAAATTTGTACCATTCTATATAATTTCTTGTACGATAAATTTGAAAAATATTTCCATAATGAATTTAATAATGGAACTGCATGAATTAAATTTACCATCATCATTGAGTATTTATTAGCAAACAAATTTGGACGGATAACAACGTGATGGATACAAAAATATTCTACTGGAGATGACAAAATGATGAAACATTTCTGGTAGAAGAAACCAGCAAATATGGTATGATTGGAGACAACTGAGCGACAGATCCATTTCTTCACTAACCACAGCACAATATTTCACATCAAAAATATGCCACAAACTTTAACAATAACAATAGAAAATCACACATTTTCAAAAAAGTATGTGATCTAGTGTAATATATCTGCACCCTCTGATCAAAACAGAATAAGTTGAATTTTTACCAAATGATATGAGTGTATATTCCAGTAAGAATTTAGGCCTGATAAATTGTAAATAATTAATTCAGTTGAAGCCACTTCCTTTTAAATGTAATGTGCAACTGAAACATTTTAATAATTCTACTTGCACCAAAGGTCCAAACCTTAAAATCACAATCATAAAAAAATTTTTTACTTATCCAATTTTGTCTTGAGGGTGCAGATGTATAATATACTAAGAACTAATTGATTCATTAAATGTTCATGCCCTAGATAGATGGAAGAACTTTTGCTTCTGTTTCTAAACCAATGGATTAAGTCAAGACCAAGGAAAATCCATACTATGCTAATTTTTAGCAGTAGGTGCAGCTTCCCTTTAAAAAATTGATCCATAATTTATTATTGAGCAAACAGTTGGTTTATAAAACAGAAAGCATATATTTGAGTACTAAATAATATATTATATATACTAAATATATTCAAGAACAGTGGATCAAAAAAGTACAAAAATGTTTAATACTAAATTTATTTGAAAATTAGCTTCCAAGTATTAATTTTTGGTGGCAATAAATTGAGGAAATTAAAAATAGGATAAAAATGTATTTATTAGTTTTACCTTATTTTTAATTCGGGTATGAATTTCAAAGGTCAAAATAGAATCAGCACAGTTGTTTCTTGCTTAATTTTGAATTATCCTACATAGAAAATTATCCTTAATTTTAAGCTTTTCAATCTGAAATATTCACATACAAGGATGAATATCGCTGTTCTACATTATTTTCTGACCAGTTCAGTGATAATAATAATGGCTAAAATATGAGAACATTGTATGTCCCTATGCATTCATGTCATTAAATTGCATTCTCATGTACATCATGAAATTGCAAGTCGGCTAGATATGAGTTTCAGCTCGGAAACATCGTAATGAAGAACACTGAAATGGGTTTAGTTCTAAACAAACGACGTTCTGGGCAGCCTAAAAGAGAATTTACAAAATACTGTTAAAAAACAATCTCTTTTTATTACTCTAACATAGCTTCAGAAGTTCTATCAGATTTGAACACAACTTTCAGTTTTCAGAGAGTATTGTAATCCGCAGTTGTTAATTATTTGGTAGTTCAAAGAAATAAGCCATTTATTAGTTAATCCCAAAAAAGAGTTTTGGAAGAACAAAATGTTTTCAAATGAAAGCAAGTTCAACATTTTCAGCTCATTCAGTGACGGATACAAATAGGCATGGAGAAAACAAAATACTGCAATTAAAATGAGTAATGTCAGGCCAATTGTGAAGCAAGGTGGTGGGAGTTTTAGTCTGGGTCTGTATGTGATGGAATGGTATTGGAAACCTAAGTTTCAATGAAGGTATAATGAACACAGACAAGTATGTAGATATTTTGTGCCATAACTTGAACAGCAGTGTTGAAAATATGGGGATCAGGGACACATTTATCGTCCAGCATTTTTTTTCTGAAAAAAAAGCCTATTTGTAAGTTTGTTGGATTCGAACCAGGGACTGTAACAAGGATGAGTCACTGTGTCAACACGTTAACCATTACGGACACCCTAAGTCCAGTTATTAAAAACTGATACAAATGTTAGAAAGATACATTTTATCTTTCTAGGCCAGCTTCTTGTGAATTACTAGAAAAATTTGCTTAAGCAATCTGCCAGTTGGATAAATTTCACTCTTGTGAGCAGAATGGTCTCAAATTCCACACCAACATCATTTATACAATGGACTCATTATGCTTTGGCAAAAACCCATGTAGATATTTCATCCAATGTTAATCTAACATAAAGATATTTTCTTTGCATTTACAAAATAATTGGTATACCTCTTTCCTTTGTTCATTTTTTATGAACAGTAACAACATTAAAAAATGTAACATATATAGTTGTGTATTTTTTTCTTTTTTTTAGCAGATGAATTAATTTTATTTGGTATCGTGGTCCGCTTGACCAAATAAATTCTTATTAGATTTTGGTTGAGATAAAAAAGTCAGTGTCACAAGCGGGATTCGAACCCACGACCTTCGGCTAAATACGCCGCTGCTCTACCACTTGAGCTATCGTGACTTCGATCCACTTATTAAACAATGTTAATCAAATATTTAATTACTTTACTACTCATTTTAAAATAACACTTTTTCAATATATGTTTGTTCCTTTTTTTACCCATTTTGATGATGACATTAACTAATTATTGTTGAAATACTCCTTATGTCAAATTACAAATTTCATTGATTCCCCATTTTGTAAAGTCCCAAGAACTCAAATTGTGTATATAAGTGTAATATGCATGTTTAGTGAAATATCTAAACTTTTTCACCCCTCTCCCATTAAATTATTTATTTAAATAAAATAAAAAAGATAGAAAGGTGTACACAATGGGTATGCATGCCCAGCTTCAATTACAGTTTGTTACCATGGTTTTACAGTGTTTGTATTCAATTAGAGGTGCTGAAAGAGCATGCCTGTAGAGAAGCCTGTGGGTTACTTGGTCAACTAAACCAATTGGAGTTTTTGCGGCAGAGTCAGTCCAACCATTGGTCCACAGGTACCATCCCAGTTGGCACTCCTGGGAAACCGCTTGTACATTTTGTAAAAGACTTTCGCCGATATTAAAAAGCATTTACGTTAAACGATTCGGATGATATTTAAAAAAGGATGCCTGCTTCGGGCTGTAGTGACTTTTCGGCTGTCGCCTCGAATTTCTTCCCGCACCTTGCAAAGTCGGAAAAGGAGATTCTCGAGAATTCGATGACCGAAGATGACCCAAATGCTAATTCGTCGATTGTCTCCGAACATACGGGTGGGCCCAGATGGGGGCCAAGGACCAAGGCTGCTCAAAAACTGTCGAGCCTTTATACAGTTGGTGAGTTTGTCAAGAAAATTTTTGAATTAAATGATTAAAATGTTGTTTTTTTTCGATTTAAAAATCACGTATTAAAATAGAATCAACGTTTTGGCACCTGTGGTTCGGCAATTAAGGCATTGACACAGTAACTCATTCCCACGAAAGAACTTCCAAATGGGCTTTTTCCAAAAACATTAGCACACTTTGCTGTTGTGAATCCCTGCAAAAAATGATAAAATAATAATAATAATAATGCTAATTTTTTAAAATCTATCAATTGAAAAAATTGTTTGCAATTTTTCTCCTTTAGGAAGGTGGAACTTTATTATTACAAAATAATATTGTATGGATTAATTCTTAATAAAAGATTATTTTCAACACATGACTAAGAAATGCTTTACTGTTTATTGTAAATAATAATATTCTACCTTAAGGATAAGTTAAAACTCTAAAATTTGTTAGTTGATATCAGCCGAATATCAGCACCGATTGTAGTTAGTGTTTTTATTTATTTTTCACACGTTTATATCAAGTATAAATGCAACAGTTCTCAGTGAGTTGTGTCATAGGTCATACTGGTATTGATATTTTTAAAATTGGGTCAATTGCCGCCTCATTCTAAGAACTCATGCCATTCAGTCCCTTTTACCCGAGCACACATAGACGAAATACGAAGGTGAAAGTAATTGATTTTTATCTTCATGGCCCCTTTTATTAGATTTAATGCTCGCTCTTGAAATTTAAAATAGTTGATCTTAGAGGATACAAATCTTTTTTTACCTGCACCTTTCTACGGAGTGGTATAAATTTAGATAACAATTAAAGCCAGTTTTATCAAACTTTTTTAACGGGTCACCTGTTGTTTCTATTGATTACTTTCCCTAGATAGGATCTCTGACAAATAACTCTCAGATTTTCTTTCTAGAAACTATGCAGTTAAACCTATCTATATACTATTATGTCCTTTTCAACCGTGACCCAGTCATCAATTATTAGTTGATTTATTGATCTATCAGTATCATCAAAGTATCGCAAGACCTTTTGTAGTTGTGTAATAAAAGGGGCCATTGAAAAATACTTCGTATCAAAGAAAGGATAATCAATTGTATATCACTTTATAACAACATGAAATGAATAGAAAAAAAAATTAAATTATTGGTTTTTGGATTTTGTTTATTAAGCAGACAAATTGAAGATGCATTTGTTTAACTTTGATTAATGTTCTGGCAACTTTTGTTTTAATAAACAAAAATGTGTACATTAGGATGTCGCTGACCCTTCATTCGAATCCAATTTACCAGAAATTAGTGTCATGTCAAATATATTTTATTATAAAGTTCTTATTTCTATAATTATTATTAAATTGTGCAAAATGTATTGCATTACAATTCGCTTTTGAGGAGTTGGAGTGGAAGATTTGTTGAACGCATCTGACAAAATCGGTGAGAATGGCCAAGGCACAATGGTCAATATTTATATATTAATTAGAATAAATGGATTCAATATCCTTTCACATTATACAAGCTAAGTTGTAAATAATTTCTGTAGGTATAAACAATTATGAAATAATATACACTGATATATACGAATTGAATTAGAAACAGTAGTTTAAAAAAATAATTAATTTACAATAGATTATGGGCGGACCACAAGAATAGAAATGGTGAATGATGGAGTGACTGCGGTGTTCAGTCCTTTTTAAAAAGATAGTTCCTATTCCCAGTAATTACTGTTAGTAAATAATTAATTATTTACTGTTAGTAGGAACTATCTTTTTAAAAAGGATTGACCACAAGAATTTCCAATCCTGGGTGTTCGCAGTCTGGGGTCAGACCTCTTGGTCTATCCATCCAGCTTCCAAGGTTGGGCTCCACAGGGTACCAACAGCTAGGTCATTCCAGCCTTCCAATCAGTTCCTAAAGCCAAACCCATTCACTCTTAAATACATTCTTTCTTATTTATATCATTCAATTAGAGAGGTGGAGTACTCGATATTCCTCCATCACCATTTACACCTAATATAAAAGTACCCTTATTGAGGGTCAATGGGATAAGTTTGGGTGATAAGATTTAGAGGTTATATGAAGCAAAAACAACTTTTTGGGCTGTGCCTAGCTTTTAGTGGTTTATTCCACCATCATCAAGACTGTTTATTAAAAAAAGAAAAACACAAATACAGAGTAATTTAATATTTGTGTTAATTTTTTTCTACACCCTGATGATGGTGGAATAAACCACCGAAAGCACAACCCAAAAAGTTGTTTTTGCTCCATATGACTTCTAAAGATCTTATCATCCAACTTAACTTGCTGAAGGTCAATAAACTTCCAAAACAATCACCAATGGGATATTCAATATTCCACCATTCACGCCAATAAATACATTCACTCTCAACACACTCAACACACTCTACGGACACAAAATTATCAGTATTGTATGCAATAAAACAACCCTGTTTCCTCCAAAAAATTATACTTCGAACCCAGATACTTGCTGATGATTTTCATATCAGGTGGCATTCCTACTATGGTCTATATGGGGTCAAGGAATTGCACCCTTCAAATAGTTGGGTCACATTGAGCAATATTTCTCTACGTGCCGAACACTTAGACAGGCTTTGGCCCAAAGTGTCTTGTGTGTCAACCTCACATGGCCTATTCTTAATCTGGTGAGGATGACCCCTCTTCTTCGAATCAACGTTGCTCTCGATACTTGAGAGCTTCTCTGCCGATCTGACCCACCAACACTGCCACTTTTTATAATCATGATTTTTATTTAATTTTTAGCAGAAAAGAGCCGGATATCGGTGGTTCTGAAGGTTGGTACATCCCAGCCTTAGCTGATCGTCCGCTTTTTCATTACTAGAATATTGCTAGTGGACAAAAATAAATAGTACAACTGAAGAAATATATTATATCAAAATTATGTGTAATCGTCATACTATAATGAACAAGCTATATACTAAAAGCTGTTCTTTTGTTGTCTTACCAGAGTGGGAAACTTTGTTTATTTTTATCTGTAATGTAATTATGTACATTAAAACAGTCTATTTGGACGCCCGCGATGGCACAGTGGAACCTCATTACTTTAGGAGTTTATTCCAAATAAACTTTGATGAGAAATCGTTGAAAAAGAATTATTCTTGACCTCTTAAAAAAAACATAAACAAATATTCTCGCTTTTATTAGGCTTCATTTTATTTCCGCCTTTTCTGAATTCTGTTTCTCTGGATATGATGTAATTTATCGATCTTACGAATACGTTACAAGTTATTGCATAACAATAAAATTCCAGTCTGTTTATTTGAAATGTTACATATAAAATTAACAGGCTGACTTTCCTGAGAAAATGGTATGTAAATTTATATAATTATTTATTTTTCAATAAGACAAAACAATTATTCTTTAGTGGTTAATGGTCATACCTTCAAGCGATCAACGATTTATCGATTTGGTATATATTTTTATATTTAATGTCATTTTGTTAAGACATCTCGTACGTTACTCGTAAGGAGTTCCAATTGGTAGAAACGTGGAATTGTACAAGCCATTTTTTTTAATTTGTGAAATGAAACTATGTAAGATTTCTATAAATTTTAAATAAGCAAAACGAAGTTGGGAGATGTTTCATTACAAGACACAAGCCTTTAAAATGAGCCCCGATCTGTTGCCTATTCGATAGATCATGCTGAATCGGAAGACAAAGCAAGGATTCGTACATACAACATACTATTCGCGGTTTGTTTAAAACTAAATTGCAAGACAAAGGTTCGCTTCGTTCTGGTCGAAAAATATTAGAAATATGGCCGAGATTTCTGCCGGGCCTTACAAGCGGAGAAATAAATCAGTTTAAATATGTTTTTGTAATTGTGTTTTCATTGCAAATATTGTGAGATATCCTTTTGTAGAAAGCGGAGCGATAAAAACTACTGTTTGATAGTTATTTATCATGCTGGTCAGTCTATCCTCGCTGGTTTGTCTTTGTTATTTCAGATGCGTTTCAGCATTTCGCCATATTCAGTGTTTGGGTGATGACGTGTGATATGACTCCACAGAAACCACCCAAACACTGTAGAGTAGCTCTACAATTTTTAGATTTTAGGTCATAAGTTAAAAAAATATGGAATTAATAAAACTTTGAAAATTAATTAAGATTTTTTAGTTGAGATAAAAAAGTCAGTGTCATGAGCGGGATCCGAGTGAATCGAAGTCACGATAGCTCAAGTGGTAGAACAGAGACAGTATCTAGCCGAAGGTCGTGGGTTCGAATCCCGCTCATGGCACTGACTTTTTTATCTCAACTAAAAAATTTAATTAATTGAAAGATATTAATTAGTCAAGTGGACCACGAAACTTCCTTGAAAATTTTATTTTATATAACCGGTTCTAATTTGTTTACAAAGGCCCAATAATTAGTAATTTTTTGTGTGTCAAACATTAAAATCGGACTTCCATTAAAAAGGGTTAATTTCTGACAAATTATCTTGCTGTTTTGTGTATTTTCTTATAGAAATATTATATATATTTAATGGTATATCGTTTTAGTGGTTGTAAAGCTACATTCCTCTTCTTTCAAATAGTTTTTGACGTTTTTTAGCCGGTTTTGAATTATAGCCGTTCCAATTAGATATTCTGCTAACATCTTCTCAAAAATCGGAAAAGTTTTAGAGGTCAAAAATCGATAAATTTAAATTCAAACAAAAATTTATATTTAGGGGTTCGTTTGAGTACTAAAACGAAATCTCTTATTGGTTTCACATTAAAAAAAAATTATGACCTAGTTGATTTGAAAAATATTCGGTTTTTAGTTATTTTTTTCGTTACTGATAAACACTGGGCACTCTCAACACGACACGCAAGAATGGCACAATTACACAGAAGAGAAACACTTTGAGCCCTGAAGATGATCTCAATAAAGATCGAAACGTTGGCTCGATAAACCTGAAACCTACATCACACCAGACCGCATCTCACGATTTCTGAATAGTTATTGATAAACTTTTATAGGTTTTACTATAT